CACATGATTCTTCCACTTGTGCCCCTGAAATTTAACTTTGGTTTGCTACTCAACAGACATCCTAGCCAAAATGACAACACAGGTGCACAGCATCTTACAGACGTATGGTGAAACACCCATTGCTAATGTTTTTTTGGAAACACAAGACCCTTTAAAACCACTGCATCATGAAGCCTGGGAGTGAAACTTTCTCGAACAGGTATTTTCAACTCCTAGACCTTGAGGACTTGCTCATTTTCATTAGCTGCTTGGAACTAGTTCACTAAAAAACCAAGGCTGCTGTCATACAGATTTAATTTGCTACAGTGGCATCCACACTTGTGAGAAAAACTTTAGATGTGTAGAGATATTTCTTTGACCTTTTTATGAATAAAAAGTTCGTATAATTTGGGTAAAATTTTCTATGTACACGGTTATTAAAAAAGTCAGGAGCCAAAAAAGGTAAGTACTAAGCATTCGTCTTCAAAGTTTGCTACAGTTTGTTTTACTTTGGAGATTACATTTACTCAAGTTGTCATTATATTTGTTACTCATATGACTGAAAGCCAGAAACTGGACATGTCAACACAACTTCATAAAATAAATCATTCTTGCAAACAGTGAATGAAGAATCTACAGAAAAACTTCTCATTTTGAGATAATGTTTTTTCATTAACGTTTTTTCCTATTTATATCAAGTTAACTATGTCTCTGACTCAGGAAAAGAGAATACTATTTGGAGTTAGTCACAGATTTGGGTCCAGGTGCTCTTGCTTACTTTCCCCAGTCAGCTTTAATTCAAATCAAATATAAGTATCCGCTTGTTCACTTAAATTACAAGATTGTTTAGACAAAGCAAAAAGCTAGGTCTGACAAAGACAGAAGGGTAGAGGGTGCCCTCACAATTTTTGGGTGAAGCTTTGTTCTATTCCCTTAGCTCTTCCCTCCAATTATCTTCCCAATATATTGTCAGTATATTTCCTTGACCTGTTAGTGGCACTCTATTGTGGGTTTTGGGGGGGGGTTGTTTGTTGGTTTATTTGGACAGGGTAAAAACAACCCCCAAAATCAAAACCAAACACACAAGTCCTTCAGGACATCAGCAAGAGCTGAGCAAGATATATGACAGGCAATACAGGAATATAAATTAAGCATCATGAAGTGCCCCCATCAATTTGTTCTTTGATCTTTACACAAACAGAAGGTTTAGAAGATTTGTCATAACTAAGATAGCTCATTCCCCATTTGACTCTCATTTTTGACCAAAACCCCTCAAAACAGATTTCTTTCCCATAGAGGCACAGTACATCCCCTGAAGTTTCATGCTGATTTATGAAACAAAAAAGCTCTGTATACAAAGAGAAACATTGATTCTGGTATTAAACATTCACAATATGCAACTGTAGACTAGGCATATGCCTATATAGCTCAAAGAGCTGCAGGTACTACTTGGTAATAAATGGAAATACAAACTACAGATCTAGAGACATTACTATATACACAAGTAACAATACTCAGGGGACTGAACCTCTTTGCAACCTTCCATGGTCTCTGTCAAGGACATCTGTAGGAACGAGAAGATTAGGAGCTTTTGAAGAACTACCTACTTACTAAACCACAGAACTGTGTTTACAAAAAGGGAGAAAAAGATGTGGGCTTCAGTGATTTCTCAGTTTGGTCCTACATATACTGACTCCCTTCAACTTTCCATCATCTCCCCAAGTGAAGATTTTTCAAAACTTCTGGACAATAAGCACAACCATTCTGGGTGAGGAACGAAGGGTGTATGAGACTAAAGACAGTTTTTATAAGGATATGTATGCCAACTACCATATACGCTTACAACCCCTTACACCTATTGCTCACAGCACATTCTAAAGACCTATGAGAATTGGCAGCTATGAATTAAGCTCTTTGCAATTTTAACAGGAAAACTTGTTAAGAGGAATTCTGGAAAACAAGTATTTGGGAAAACAGTGCTTTACTACAACAAAGTTCACTGCTGTTGTCAACAAAAAGCTTTGAATCCAAGAATAAGAAACTTTGCCAACTACCAGGTACCTAAATTTATCTAGTAAGTATACAATTCAGAAACGAACAATATCTACACAAGCTAAGGTGATGCCTGGTACACACATACAGAACTGTGAAGTACAATGCATCTTTAAAACAGGTTCAGAATCACCGTGGCTTTACCTCAGCCCTGGAATACTCACTGCTGCTTGCCCTTTTTGATTTACTGTTCTGCTCTGTATGTGCTGCTTCAGGGGATAAAGTATACTGCAATCAAGGTAATCATCATGGCTTTAATTCAACTGTCCACACAACTTCCCTGCTTGCTGAACCATTCTGTACTCAACAGCAATCCACTGGGGCTACCCAAAAGAGATCCAATAACCCAAGAATAGAGCGTTGCACTTCTAAGCTCCTATGTAAGACCACAAACCATAAGAACAGTGCCTACATGTGACTGCATTATGAATCATACACAGGAGTACGAAGCAGTGACAGGTGACTTTCAAGAAGCCACTTAATGTTCTGACCATAACAGTAGCACAGTGGAGACAAGTGACCATAGTCATGCAATTTTCCTTGCCACGGCACTCTGCTCCACATACCTCTGATTTACTTGAGGCATCCCACTTCACATGCTGAGAGAAACAAAGAGGTAGAACAAGAAGACAGCAAAAAAAATATTTTTCAGTTAAAAGCTGTTAGTGATGATTTGACAGGCTTAATAATTTGGCACAAACACAACTTAAGATCCCAGGGCCAAACATTACATGTAATACTTACCTGAAAAAAAAAAAGTTTTAATCATTGATGTAAACCTTCCCATGATCTTAGTTTAATTGTTACTGACAATCTCAAGGGCACAGCCACTCTTTCTGTCACAGAGCTCAGGTAAGATACTGCTGTTGACAGCTGCTCACTTTTTCCCCCTAACTCACCTCATCGGTTTCTCCTCCGGTTCAGTGACATGAAGACAGACAATTAACATGGATGATTTCAAAGAACTGCAAAGCAGGCCAGTCTGATAACTGAAGAGCTGAGAACAAGCAGCTGGAAACAGCAGCCTCCTAACCCAGATCTGCCATGACCAAACAGTTTGTCTGACCAGGCAATTACAACAATGAAGCTTTCACACTGAAGGCACTAGGACTTCCCCCTTGCCTTCTCTCAGTTTTTAACTAACAGCAAGAAATGTCCACCTTTTAAAAGGATTTCCATGTAATTAGGACTATTAGAAAAAAACAATGGGAGCTACCAAATTTTAGACATTTTGTAAAATAAACGAAGAGCATTACAAGTGAAATATCCTATATAAGATGCTCCAGGTTGCTGAACTACCCGTGTTTAGCACATCCAGTACCTTTTCTCATACACTGTGGGAGCAGGTACGCATCCTGACAACACATGAACGAGTTGTTCTCTCTCAGCAAGTACTTTTGATAGCATACAGCCACCCGGTACAACTTAAACTTTGGGAGCAACATCATTTATGGCTCTGTGCTCATTCAAAAATACAAGCAACCATCTGCCGAGAAGCTTTACAAGCAAGAATAGTTGCTACCAACATTCAATCACAGGACAATTTTTACACAATTTGAGCCCTCATTACTGAGAGCCAAGGTATTTCTCTAAGAACTAGAGAAAAAATCCACTTACAACAGCAACTGTCAGTTTTGAATGAATCTGAGCAGTTTAAAAAAAAAAGTGAGAAGTCTAAGCTTTTAAAGCTTCAGGAATAGTTTAGAAGACAAGAACTACTCAAAAAAATGAGGACAAGAAAGTTTTATTACCACTTTTCTAAGCAATGGAGATTACAAACTCTAGTGTTACTGTATCTAGAGAGAAATCTATCAAGGAAGAAAAGTCTGGGTTTGTTTTTAAAAATCAGTAAAAGTGGTTTTTATTAGCAGATCTCATTTCGGCTGCTCAGATGAAACCAGCTGTAACTAAGGCATTTTTATGAACATATAGGCAGAGCTGAAGGTAAAGTCTCTGAGGGCAATGCTGCTCACCAGGCCAAACGTACAAGAGGCACAGACAGCTGGGCCAGTCAGGCTATGAAACTGGCTCCCTGGCAAACCCTTTTTTTCACTGAGGTGTCAGCACTATAGCTTTTGCCAGGATAGAAGCAATTAAATTTTTCCATGTATTACCCAAGCCTTCACTGAAAACAGCAAACGTCAGTGTATATTGACAACTTCTACTGCACATCAAGTTCAGCCTTTTCTATGAGGAAAATTCTCCAGAATGTCATTAAGATATTGCTCTGGGGCAAAAAGCAACAAGTACCAATGTCACTGGTCAAAGTGTTCAAGTAATGAGGCAAAGGGAAGGTAATGTACTGCAGTCCATGCACAGTAGGGAGAAAAAAAAAGTGCGGGAGGGAAGAACACTAATAGGAAATAGTGGGAATAGAGGGACATCTCTCAACCCATCCTTGAAACAAAGCGGAGGCATCAAACTTGCCCTGCAACTGCCACCATCCTTATCCTCAGTCAAGAATCCATCTCTCCCTTTCCTGAGGGTTTTGGCAGAAGGAGCCTATTTCTCAGGTTGGGATCCTGCCTTGAGATCAAACCTCTCCTATGTCAGTTCTTCAGCTAATGGATTTAATCGGTCATATCGAAACACTTAGAGACCCACCGTGCTATCAGAGTGACTGTCACACAACAACTATAACCCTGGGGCTTTGGAGAATAAAACCTGTTAGAAATTTGGAAATTAAACTCCCCTCTTCAAACATAATAAAAGTAATATAGAGTATGCCATAAACTGTTACAGTCAAGATGCATCTCCTGTGTCAGATGTTACAAAGTGAGCGATGCTACAGAGTCCCCAGGGTAACAAAGCTGGATGTCCTAAAAGTTTTTGGGTTTGTGCTAGAAACTTAACAGAAGCCCAATTAATTTGAGCACAAAGCCTGGTCCTTGAAGCTCTCCACGCCACGCTTCAGAAAAAATAAGTAAACGGTACCTACAGCGTCAACAGGTAGCAAGAGCTTTACGGACCTTTGCAACTTTGGCGATGATTCTCAGAATCGCCCGAAAGTAGCTCGTGGGTTCGTTCAGACAGTAAAACGCTCTGGCACAGGAAGCGAGTTCCAGCGAGAAGTCCACACCGTTTGTAGCGGCAAGAGTACCTTCACCGTACCACCCTCACGCCCAGCGCAAAGCCTCTCTCTCGCTGCAGCAATATTGACTTGGGGGCAGAAGAGCCCGTCGGGGCTGGAATCGCTCGCCATCTGACCGGCAGTCTTTTGACCGCTGACCCCAGACACGGTCCTCCAGACAGCCCCACCA